TTTGACGATGTTGGCATATTTCTAAGTTAATAAATAAACTAATCATTAAAAAAATTTTTTATAACGGAATAATTATGAATGCTCTATAAAAGCCCAACAGCTGCCGCAAATGCCAGTGCAACAAAATCCAGGAGGTCTCCAAATTCCACAACCAAACTTAAATAATCGTAATACCCCTTCGTCATCCTCTTCAACGGCTCATTTACCGCCATCTCCTACGCCAGTTAATAATCAAAATAACAATGTTGCCAATTCATCTGCATCCTCATCAACCAGGGAGCAACAAAATAATACTAATAACAGTAATAGTAATGGTGCTGATAACGTTCCGCAACCTCCTCAAGAAAACGCAAGATCAATTACTCTTCAAGATGTTGAGCATGCATTATGGACCTTTGTTGCTTCATTGATTCCTACAAATGCACCAGATGTCGGACAACAAGATGATGTAGCGATGTAGTGCGTTTGGTGGTGCTACTCTTTACATTGTATTTTTTTTTTCAGTGGCAATTGGATAAATATATATAGTCGCCTAACATATAGGTCATATAGTGTTAGGTTAATTTGTTATTTGTTTGCAATTTATTTGTTCAATTAAACATTTTTATTAGTTTCATTTAACAACATTCTTGTAATTACTGAGCACAATATTGTTTATGCTCGTATTATTTACTAGCATAAACTGGTTATTTATTATTAAGTCTATATAATTTTGTAAAAGTTCTTTGCAAAGTAAAAATCTAACATAATAAAAGTTTAAAATTAATTAAATATATATAGAGAATTGCTATTTCCACCTCTCATTTTTGCTAATGCCACCCTTTAAATACAAAAAAGTGCTCCGGAAGAGATATGATTATTAAGTAAATCTCTTTTTTGGTATTAATTAAAGTTATTTATTAGGTCTTTCCGGTTCTAATGGTGTAAAATCATTAACGCCTACATTTAAACTTATGCATTCCTTATTAAATCTCACATTTCTGATCATGCTTAATAAGGAATTTACAAATTCTGCAAAAACCCATTAGGATTTCAGGGGGTAGGTCCCAACGCCAGATCAGAAGATTCGGCTCGATTAAGAGTTAAAAATCGAAGCAGGAT